GAACAAGTAATAAGTGTTTGAGTTGCACAAAATGAAGTTTTACTCAGCCAAGCTCATCAGGCTGTGGCTGCTACAACTAAATCCACAAAGGAGGAAGGAAGGAAAGCTGAGCAGAAAGGAAGGAAGGATGATGGGAGGAAGGGAAAAGAAAAGGATGGGAGAGGATGGAGAATGGAGGGAAGGAAGGAAGGAAGGAAAGAGGGAAGGCAAAGGGACCTAGTGGGTTAATCTGCCACCTTCTGCAGATGTGGGCACTGGTTTTTTCCCTGCCAGTGCACTTGGCAAAGCTTTGGAGGAATGCCCTGCATGTGAGTGGAAGACCTGGAAGAGGTGTCAGCTGCTGGCTTTGGTGTGGCCAAGAACCAGCCACCCTGGCTAATTAGGGATTAACCAACAGATGGAAGACCTTTCTGTATTTCTCCCTCTTTCTAACTGCTTTTGAAATAAATAAAATCTTTTTTTTTTTTTAAAGAGAAAGATTGAGTCCTATCTTCCTTTGCAGTTCAAGCCGATGGCATCCCCTGCCCTGCCCTCCCCTGCCCTCTCCTGCCCCAAGGGCTGGAAGGAAGTTTCTTCCTTTTTTTCCTAAGTATGAGGAAGAAAATGAGCCCTACCACCGAGCAGGTGCTGGAATTACGCAGGGAAGGTTTATTTTCTTGCTAGCCGAGTGACCTCCACCCGCTCACTAGGCTTCAGATCGTGGCATTCAGTGTGGAATATGTCTTCTGATCTCTAATGCCTCGGCTGCAGGACAGTCATGTTTATGATTCGACACACCTCTGTGCCCTGCCTTTTTCCTCCTTCGGGCAAACAATGCCAGTCCACTGTTCGTTAAACATGAATGTTCCCGTACTCGGCCCACGCCTCCGGCTGGACATTTTATTACTGTACCTCTGTTGGCATGAGTTTCATACCTACGATATTACTGGCTCCCGACAGAGAGAGAGAAGCGGGAACATTTCACAGTCTACGGAGCTGTTCGCAATGTCACGTCCCACAGAGAGCTCACACTCAATATAATCAGACTGTACCTCGGATTGCTTTCTGCGGTCTCCAGCTGCACGTGTGTGCTCTTGTACCCAAGGTGGAAAACACGGACAAGATAATCCTCTTAGTCTTCCTCCCTACAAACCTTCTCCATCACCAAATACTGCTTAGTAGTTTCCTGTACTAATCAATGTGATTTGAGAGGCAAAGGAAATGCACACACAGATAGAACACAACGGCTGAACCATGCCGGGATGGCAAGCTGGGAATTCTGTCTTACTGCATAGCGTTGACAAGTTCAATGCTTGCGTCCGTCTGCTGCGGCTCCCAGGGCGTGCGTAAGCATGACGCGCAGAGCGGGCCACATGCCCACTGCCTTCGGTTTGTAAATCCTTAGGAGAAATTCTCTCTATTTTGACTATATTTTGTCTTACTCTCTTAGCATAGCATGGCATTTGGGTTGAAATATAAATGACAAGATATTTTAAATGCTTCTCTCTCATATCCTATAAATTATTCTTTACATTGTCATGACTTTTTTTTTTAACAGGAGCCTCTTCATGATTTTCATATTTATAACTATATCACATGTGAGCCTGTCCTCCCAACTAAAGCAGACCTCGTTCTGGTTTTACGTGCCTCCTATGCAAGTCCGTTCAGCTGCTTTCCAGAGCTGATCTGCTCGGGTTGGTCTAGAGGCTAGATTTATTTCCAGTAGGCAGAGTTTGTTTTTCCCTTACGTATTAATCAAGGAGGGGGTGGGGGATTTCCCTCCACAAGCCATTTCGGGGAGGGGCTCACCCTCCACGTTGTCATTCTGTGATAACGGAAGCTCATCGCGTGCACCAAGCCAATGCAAAGGCACCAGCGGGGTAAGCGCTTGCCAGCTCAAGAACCTGGCTTTGCAAGTCACACATCTGTTTCTTCTCAATCCTGTTGGCTGGACTTCTGTCCTATGTTCACACCAGATACAAGGAAGTGTAGTCCTAGGTTACACGTCACCTTTGCATAATAATTCTATTCCACGGAAGAGGAGAATACAAATTTCGGTCAACAGTTAATGAAGAATCCCGGTCAATGCTACAGCGTTCCACCTTGCATAACCCAGGACCATCTGCATTCCTGAAGTGCACCATCGTCTCCTTTTGCATCTATTGCTGCCTTTCATTCAGGCCCAACTGCTAACCATCTTTCCAAGCTCCGCTGCTGTATTTAGGTGCTGCTCAGAGCACCACTACTCCATATTGGAGGGCTGGGTTGAGTCCTGGCTGTTTTGCTTCTAACTTCCTGCTAACAAGTCAGATAAGGCAGCAGCTGACAGCCCTGGCCACCCAGGCAGTTTCTGACTTCGCAGACCTGGCTGCTGTGCTCCTTTTTGGAACCACTGGAAAAAGTTCTCAGTCTCTCCCTCTTTCTGTCATTCTGCCTTAAAAAAAAAATTAGTGAAATAAGAAGTATTTGAGAAAAATCTTTTTTTTTTTCTGTAGCATGCTATCACTGATCACTCTACTTTGTAAATTGATATTATCCCTTGAGACTTTTTTTCATATTTTTGTCATATTAAGTGTTAAGGAAATCTCGACATGCTCAATTACAGACATTATTACTGTAAAGTATTCATTTTCTCTTTCACAGTGGACCTGAGTAACATGGATGTTATACAATCGGCTGATTTAGACCTTGCTTTATAAATAATTTGGGGAATGTTTTTGTTAAAGTCAGATTGAATTCACAGGAGATGGCTGTGGTGCAGTGAGCTAGGCTGCACCTGCAATATTGGGAAGTTACTCAGGGTTCTTGTGCTATTGTACCTGGGAAAGCATATGTCCCCAAGACCCTGTCACCCATGTGGGAGCTGTAGAGTCACTGACTCCTGGCTTTGGCACAAAGCCACCAGATCAAAGACCTCACTCTCCTTGCCTTTCAAACAGACAAATCCATAAATCTTTTCCAAAGAGTTTGTGCATAATTGTAATCATGTCTCACTATAACTTTATGACGGTGTTATGTTTTCACTCTTTCGTCAAGACTCCTAGGAGCTGCAAAGATTTCTTGCCTAGCTAGTTTCAAATTCATTGCTTTTTCTTTCCAGTTCACCCCAGGTGGCACTCCAACTTCCTCGTAGTTCAGTGTGTCCGGCCACCAGAGTCAGATCAACAGCAAGTGAATGGAATGTGATCTAACGATCGCTCCAGCCCTGGCCCACACAACCTTCCTGTAAGCAAATCTTCCTTTCACTACGTGAGGGATGCCCGTGCCCTCATCAGCCCTGGGCCCTGAGCCACGCACCCTCCCCCCCACAAAGGAACAGCTCCAGTTAACATTTGCCTGGGTTTGATGTTGGCAGCGTTCTTAGCATTATCCCAAATAATACCTCCAAGGTCACTACCTAATTGTGTTGATCATCGTCAACGGCTCATCATATCTCACAATAAAAAACTTGGCCTTATTCCAGTGAAACTTAGAAATTGACATGTCTGGTCCAGTGATGTAAAGTGAACTACCCTGCTGTCTGTGTCCGCTTAACTCTTCCTCGGGGGCCCTGGGAATTGGGAAGTCATGTTACAACAGTTAGCTTAGGCAAGAAGACGGGGAGGGCGCAGCGCTAACAGAGAATTCTGATACCTTCAGTGGTATGATGCCTTCGAGCACAGATACAAACTTCAAAATCAGAGTCACAGAGAGCTAAAATCTGAGCTTTGCTATTTAGTCACATATAAGCTGGTACTGAGTTTAGGGCAGCAAAACTTTACCTAAATCTTTTCTAGTTAAACAGATCATAGCAGAATAAAAGTGAAACAGTTAAAAAAAAAAAAAACAGCTGTAAGAGTTTCAATAAGTTTGAGGAAATGGGAAGAAGCGGATCTGACAATGATGTTGGGAAGTGTGCGGACTGAAGCGTGTAGAGTGACAGGTTGTCGTTGCAGGAGACCCTGGTGACCTGCACAGCATCAGCGAGCCTGGGGACTTAGTGATATCAGCTAAAGGCATGGGTGCAGGTGCAAATGAGAAATTAGAGGAATTCATGAAGGCTCCACCCCCCAGGATCTCCAAGGACAGAATGTAGCATTGTTCCTTGCCAGATATGGGAAATGATTTCTTTGTCAATTGTAAAGAGGAAAGCTGATTTGGGAAATAGCATCGCAATACAACGGAAAGGGGTTTGAACAGCCCCTGTGGCTTCCTGCATCAGCTGATCAGACACGCAGCTCCGCCACAAGGAAAGTCCCCCAGGCTGCCCGACACTTTTCTGAACTTTGTGTATTGTCATTTCTTCCAACCTCTTTAAAATTCTATGAGACAGGTGCTGCCACCACCACTACTTACAGAAGAAACAAAAATGAAAAGAGAAAGTATTCGGACCCAGGCGGCTGGAGTTTCTTCCCCTCCTCTTGACGTCTTTTCTCAGTTTCTAGCTCGGCCAGGCTGCTCTCTCTCCGCCTTTTTTGCGTCTTGCGGTCTCTCCTAGCAACTGTTAACTGATAACCCCAGTCCGCGGAGTCAACGGAAGGAGACGGCGGGCGGAGGAGGGCAAGTTTCACTTCTACGTAAGCGGCTCCCTTGGAAAAATCTGTTGTTACTTTTGTAATTTAGAAATTTTAAATAAATAAAACCCGGTGAATCTTTCGGTGCAATGCGTGGTTAGTTTATTGTATGCCCTCGGTATCAGCCGCGGAGATGGAAAATTGAACGTCCACACACACACACACACACACACACACACACACACACCAAGAAAACAAACAAACAAAAAACGGCCGGGAGGATTCCGGAAAAGTACTCAACATACCATTCGATGAAGCAAGAGCTAGACAGCAAGACAGCAAAGCAAACAGCCACCTTTGGCGACTTCTCGTTTTAACCGGCACGGCGGGCAGTGCGCGCGGGAGCTGGGATGGAAGGTCAGCATGCGAATAGCGGACGTCGCCCCACGGGAGGCATCAGCCCAGCTCGGGACTGCGAACGCCAGGTGGTGTGAGCTCAGGTCGGATCCCGAGCCCGGGGAGCGGATCCCGAGCCCGGGGAGCCCGGGCAGCCCGGGGAGCCCCTGCGCAGCAGGGCGCGGCGTAGCCCTGGGAACTGGCTGCGCGCCAGGCCGTCCCATTGTCTACGTAGGATCCAGGAAACGAAGCTGGCCGCCCGCGCGGGGGAGCGAGGTCACCAGACGGCTACTTCCGCGGGGACCGAAGAAGGCGTTCTGCAAGGGCCGTGTCGGCAGCCGCGGGGCCCGGAGAGGACAGGAGGCTCGGCCAGGCTGCCGGGGAGCTGCGGTGCCACAGGTGGGCAGCGGGCTGCGTCTGCAGCATGTTTGGGGTCCGGAGCTCGCGCCGCGCCCAGGCGATGGGGGCTGCCTGGGGAGACAGAGACCAGGGCCCGCCAGTTGTATTTGTTGAGGAGGTGGAGGTTGGGGCTCCCAGAGGTCACGGGATGGCTGAGGAGCAAGCCAGGGACTCTGCAGGTGGGCCCGCGTTGTCCCGCCGCACGGTCATCCCGGTGGCACCTTGTATCCGCTCTTGGAAATCCCACCTAGGTTTGCCTCACCCAGAAAAGCCTCTCAGGTGTGTTCTCTGAAATGAGAGAGAGAGAGAGCTCTGTCTGGCTTGATGTGCAGGACTTCGCCGGCCTGAGAGCGCCCCCTGTCCAGGCTGTGCCCAGGACGGTCAGCGAATGGGGCTGTTAGGAGGGATCCTGGCAGAATTGTGCGGATGGCTTGAAAGAGACTGAAACCCGCATCCGGGCGAGGCAGCCAGGAGTGCCGGAGAGACGGGGGGGTACAGCGGCTGAGACCCTCAACTCCAGTGTGAGCTCTGCCTCCGCCACTTCCCCTCTGCGGGCTCTGAGCCAATATCTCCAATATCTCGTCTTCCTCCACTTGCATCCGCTCTGAAACGGTGTTACTATCAAAACCCAGAGCATTCCTTGTATGAATGACATGTTGGTAGAGGAGGGACCGCCAGTGTGGAACGTACTCTGTGAAAGTTGGCTTGTGTTGGTTTGCATATGTAATGAAGTTTCTGCATCTTCGAGCACACGATCTGATGCCCATGCAGTTTTATTTATACAGCTGTTCTTCCTGTAAGGCTGGTTAAGGTCACCTCCCAGTCCCTGTTGCAAGCAGTGAGGGTTTTTTTCTGCTTTGGCACCTTGGCCTACGGGTGATCACACAGTACACTTGCTGAGGGAGAAGAGATGGGCAGCTTGGCAAGGTCTCCAGTTGCGTTTTCCTGACAGCAGTACTTTTTTTTTTTTTTTAAGGTTTATTTTTATTTGAAGGACAGAGATAAGAGGGAAGGAAAGTCAGCTCTTCTATCCACTGGTTCACTCCCCAAATGGGCGCAAAGGCCGGAGTTGGGCCAATTCAAAGCCAGGAGCCAGAAGCTTTTTGTGGGTCTTGCACGCGGGCACAGGGGGCTTCAACTGCGTCCCCCCCACCCCCCCATGGGATGCCAGCGCTATAGGCAAAACTTAGTCTGATACACCAGGCGCTGACCCTGGAACTTCCTCTTTGTGCCACCCTGGCATCTGCAACAGTTGTAGCACTTTGAAGAGTAAACAAGGAAGAATGAGACGAAGAGAGCTGAGTTGGATTTCTGCAGTCGGATAGACAAAAGGTGTGTGGAGTCGCTGGAGTGTAGCTGATGTGGCCGTCAGATCCGCAAAGGGCTCGTAGCACGCACACGGAGACAGTGAACGGGTGGGGCTCCTGTGCCCCTCTCTGTCCACACCTAAGGCTCTCTCTCTCTCTTTTTCTATTTTTTTTTTAAAGATTTATTTATTTTTATTACAAGGTCAGATATACAGAGAGGAGGAGAGACAGAGAGGAAGCGCCTCTGTCCGATGATTCACTCCCCAAGTGACTGCAACGGCCGGTGCTGCGCTGATCTGAAGCCAGGAGCCAGGAACTCTTCCAGGTCTCCTACGCGGGTGCAGGATCCCAAGGCTTTGGGCCGTCCTCCACTGCTTTCCCAGGCCATAAGCAGGGAGCTGGATGGGAAGCTGGGCTGCCGAGATTAGAACTGGCGACCATATGGGATCCTGGCGCGTTCAAGGCAAGGACCTTAGTTGATAGACCGCGCTGCCAGACTCTTCTTAAGATCTTTCAAAATGTGAATATGCTTCTCAGAATTTTTTTTAACGCGTTTTCAGAACAATGCGGAATCAGGTAGAAGTTTCAGGAGCCCAAGAGATTGATGGGAAGGGTTGCTCTGGAATGTAAACCGTGAGGCTGTAGCTGCAAATGTCCTCTACTGTTTCTGCCCCGTGTTCCGACTTCACAGTTACTCAGTAACCCAGATTAGCAACAGAGACTTGCAATATTTTCTTAAGATTTATTTTTTATTGGAGAATCAGATATGCGGAGAGGAGGAGAGATGGAAAGGAAGATCTTTCATCCTCTGATTCACTCCCTAAGTACAGCTGAGCTGATTTGAAGCCAGGAGCCAGGGAGCTTCTTCCAGGTCTCCCACATGGGTGAGAAGCAGTCCTCAACTGCTTCTCTAGACCACAAGCAGGGAGCTGGATGGGAAGCAGGGACTGAATGGGAAACAGGGCCTCCAGGCCTGTATGGGATCTGGGCATGTGCAAGGAGAGGACTTTAGATGCTAGGTTACCACGCCGGGACCGGGACTCACGATTTTTTGATAGAATGGCTGTAACGGAGATGCATTTATATTCCTTGGTATACCATGCCCCGGTTTTCTCCAAAGCAGTCATTTAACAAAGTGAGAGAAAAGCATGAAGGAATTGGTACCATGGCATAGCGGGTAAAATCCTCAAGCCCCTGCACTTAAGCCGGTGACCCAGGCTCGTGTCTTAGATGCATTGTATTTTTTTTTGTGTGTGTGTGTGTTCACTCACTTTAATAGAATATATAGATCAGACTATCACCATGAAATTTAAGTTCAGATTAGACAAGAGAATTTTACAAGTATAATTACATATTCTGTATATATCAAAGTTTGTGTATAATGTCTGACCAACCAACTTGCTCACAAACTATTAATCATGTCCACTATAAGTAATTTAACATAAGTCTTGCACAGAAGAAAAAAAATACTGTACACATTTAAAAATGTTAATTTACCTTTGTTTTAGGCAGTTAAAACACAAGTTTCAATTTCAAAATGAATTTAGTATAACAGCAGCAAAAATATAATTCTGCAGTTATAACTAAATTGGAATCCATAATTAAATTAGTCTCATGTTTACAGGTGTGATTCTGAAATATGCTACCACACAGCTACCTTAAAAGGTTTTGTTTTTACACACACACTCTCTTTCAGTTAGGGAAGGGTTTACAAGTTCCATTCCACAAACTCTTTTAAAAACTGGGCGTAGCTTCAAGGTTGGCCTGTTGTTATTCAGGACTACAAAAGTTTCAGAAGGGGGAAACTCAAATGTAACACTGTGTTAATTTGGCTCCTCTGAATGACCCCAGTGAACTAGTCACAAATAATTTTGGTTACTAGGCAAATTACACCTACAAGAAAGGAGGTCAATATTGAAGACACCACGTACTATTGTCCACATCCACTCAAATTATTTATTTTCAACAGAAAATGTAACCTCAATATGAGATGTCTAACAGAGCCAAGCCTGCATCCCGTCTTCTAAGGCTTAGGTTTCGCCCAAAATTCCCGATACATGGAATAGCCCATACCAACAGTCATGGCTCCTACCACGAAGCCTTGGGCGGCCACGCGCATGTGGATCAGGTGAAGGGACATTTTCGTATTTCCCCTGCTTTTCAGCCTGTAGAGCCCGTAGGCAACAATTGCCGCAAAACCCGCCATCCCAATGGGGACAAATGGTGCCTCTTTAGCTTTTCGGATAAACTTGGATCCCTGATCTTCATCATAGGAAGAAAGGGAAACATCTGTATTGGTTGACATAGTGATTGCTTGAAGAATCTTCCGACAGGGATGAACACCGCGCACACCAACCCAGATGCATTGTATTTAAGAAAACCCAGCAATTATTGCAAATGAATCAATCAGAGCAAAATCAGCGAAGGTATCCACGCAATGGGTGACACAGTGCTTGCTTCTAGTTGGCACTGATGCTGGCACAAGGAGCACTTAGCATATAGTGCCGGAGTATATGACGCAGCGCTTTGAACGCTTGCGATATTACACAATTGCTGAAATGATAAAATCTACAGTAGAGCAAAGACCCACATTTTATTCTGTGATAATTCTGCCAGTGGATATTCACCTACAGTAACTTAGATCGAAGACTAAAAGTTATGTCCCCGATAGGAAGAAAAAGTGAGACTTTGCTAAAACTGTTTCGTTGCTATTCCTTGTACTTCAGGGATGAACTCTGACACTGGGAAAGTACTCAGTGTTTATACTAACTGGCATTCATTAGACATGGATTTAGAAACATATAGCATTCCAGATGTGAGGGCTTCCACTGTTCCAATATTGTGCAGTGTTAGTTTACAAATGCCTTTTCTTACAATCATGTCCTATATATATCTTTTTAAGATTTATTTTATTTTATTATTTTTTTAAAGCTTTATTTTATTTTTATTGGAAAGGCGGATATACAGAGAGGAGAGACAGAGGAAGATCTTCCGTCCGATGATTCACTCCCCAAGTGAGCACAACGGCCGATACTATGCCGATCCAAAGCCAGGAGCCTCTTCTGGGTCTCCCATGCAGGTGCAGGTTCCCAAAGCTTTGGGCTGTCCTCGACTGCTTTCCCGGGCCACAGGCAGGGAGCTGGAAGGGAAGCGGGGCTGCCGGGGTTAGAACCGGCACCCATATGGGATCCCGGGCGTGCAAGGCGAGGACCTTAACCACTGCGCCATTGCGCCGGGCCCATGTCTTATATTTTTGGTTTATATTTACCTTTCCATCTTAAACAATCCAAAATTTTCATTATATTTTTTTAAAATATGGTTTCATAGGCTCTGGGGTTTTTCTTCCCCTCCTCCTCATACCCCCTCTTGTTACTGAAAAATCCAGCTTCTTAAAAGCAAATATTCAAAAACCAAAGAAATATTTTCCATCCTTGATGTCTAGATTTTTCTTCTTTCCCTTAAAACTCATTCATTTGTCTTAAAGGGCTGCAGAGACAGAGGAAAAGAGACAAGGAGAGCTCGTCCGTCTGCTGGTTCGGACCTGAGTTGGCCGCAAAGGCCGGGCTGAGTTGGCCGCAAAGTCAGCAACTACAAGCTTCATCCGAGTCTCCCGCATCAGTGCTAGGGACTCAAACGTGGGGCTGTCCTCTGCTGCTTTCCCTAGGCCATGAACAGGGAGATGGATCACAAGTGGAACAGCCAGGACACAAATTATCACCCATATGGGATTCCAGAATTACAGACAGTGTCTGCACCAGCTACACTACCGTGTCAGCCCACTTGAACAGATTTTCAATAAAGACACCCTGGATCATGTTTTCCAGTTATTGGTTTATTAGCAAAAGATGAGGAATAAAAGAACTTTCTATGTGTCTCTTCTTGATAGTTAGGATTTCTCTTCAATAATCATTTACATTCTTTTGACACTGTACACAAGATAAGAATGACTGAAAGACAATAGTCCCTTACAGTTGCTGTTAAAATTGATGTACACTTTACACTGAACTGAGTCATAGTAAAGAGTGGTATCCCATAAGACATAAGGGGTAATAAGAACTTAAGAGAGATTTTCTACTCCAGATTTTTTGGAAGGATGGGCAGAAAGAGAATAAGCCCCCATATGCTGGTTCATTTCCCAGCTCCTTGCAGCGGTTCATGCTGGAGCTGAGTGCTGGAACTGGATCAACGAGAGCTCCTGTGCAGCACCCAGACCTGAGCCATCACGTGCTGTCTCCCAGGGTTTGCGTTTAGCAGGAAGCTGCAGTCAGGAACTGGGGGGCACGGGGGGGTTTAAAATACAGGGACGCTGATATGGGATGGGACATCATCACTACTTAGACGAAGTCCTCGCTCCACTTTTTTACAATTTATCACATTTTAACTTTAATGTGTGTGTCAAGGTATCGGTGTGTTTTAGGAAAATATGGATTCCTGGCCCTGCACCGTAGCCTAGCGGCTAAATTCCTCACCTTGCACACACTGGGATCCCATATGGGCACTGGTTGTAATCCTGGCAGTCCCGCGTCCCATCCAGTTCCCTGCTTGTCACTTGGGAAAGCAGTCGAGGACGGTCCAAAGCCTTGGGACCCTGCACCCACATGGGAGACCTGGAAGAAGCTCCCTGGCTCCTGGCTGTGGATCGGCACAGTTCCGGCTGTTGCCGCGGCTTGGGAAGTGAATCATTGAATGGAAGCTCTTCCTCTCTGTCTCTCCTCCTCTCTGGATATCTGACTTTGCAATAAAAATAAGTAAATCTTTAAAACAAGTACGGATTCCTTTTTGGGAGTGGATGTATGCATTTTCATGTATAATGTCAAGAATGGAGGTATGATAGCTGATAAAAATCATGATCATTTGTTGTATGAATTTACTCTTTTGCAGTTCAACGGGCAGACTTTAAAAGATTAATCTCTTGAGACTGTCAGTTTCAGCTGTGTGTATTTATTAGCTTACTTTTTTTTTTTTTAAATTTCCTGGAAGAGCAATATAAACCCCACTTTATACCACTATGGCTTAAAGATTTTTATAGCAGTTGATTTCTGATGAGTTAATGCAAATGAGACTTCCTGCGTTCTCAGAAAATCCAGGAAATGAAGTCAGAAACACAGGCACATTGGGGAATTTATTCCAGGACCAAGTAAACCCATTTCGGACTTTGCAACCATTGTTGAACTTGTCGGATATATATAACTAAGGGGTGATTACAATTGCGCTAGGAGATTTCACTTTGAAAGTTGACAATAATAAACATGAAATGTGCAGGGAGGTGGTTTCTTCTTGGGAACACGAGATTCACCAAGGCTGTAGAGTCAGATCAGTTGATTTACTGAGCAAATAGCACTGAATAGAAGGAGGAGTTCGTCGCAGGGTTGTGGGCCTGGTGATGGGAAGCAATGAGTCATATTAGCATGTGAATGTCAGGGAAAGCAGTTGGGCAAGAGTTTTCATCCGATGTACCCATTGTGATCCATTTACAGGAGAGGGACTGCGGCTTATGTTCGAGAAATTGTAACACGGGAGAGCTTGCTGTGGAGTCAAAGCCCAGGAACCAGAATTACTGAATCGAATTGTGTCGTGATGTATAGTTCTGTAGAAATAACAAAGCACAAAGACTCACTTGAATTAACAATGGGCTACAGTTGTGACCACACCTGAACATGAGTTCTCTTGATGCACAGAAGGCAGGGTGAGGTCCAAGTCGGGGGGGGGGGAGCAGGTGCACAGGCCCTGGCAAGTCCAGGAGTGGTGCAGTCATGAGGCTCGCAGCTTCTGCAGCTCTCGTTGGCACCAGTGCTGAAACCCAGCCTGAACCCTGGGAGTTTGAGCAGCTTCTTTATGGGATGTGTGCTGGGAAAGCTGCAGTATTTAGCTTGGTTAACATTTGGGGTCTCAGGCTCAGTACTTCTTCATGGCATTCTTCTCCCCTAGAAGGAGGGGAGTCCACCATCCCGGGGTACCCAGTCACTTCCCAAGTCCTCCCCCAAAAAACAACATGGAGATGGCTTCAAGCCCAGAGGGTTTTAAAGACTCGATCATGAGGGACAAGGCGAGTGGAAGGACCATTGCGCACATAAAACTATCGTTTTAGAGTATCTGGCTTCACTATAATACTCAGTAAAGTTAGGCAGCCTCTAAGAGACAAATAGTGGATGTTTTCCTAATCTGTGACAACTAATACATGGAGTATTGGTTACAAAATATGACATCTGTAGACATGAGAGCAATATTCTGGAAATTGTCATGTCATCCTGTGTTTCCATTCCGGAGGAATAGTAGGCTTTCTGATTCTTGTTTGCTTTTCTTTCCTTCTTTGATACTGTGTTTTCTATGTTCTATTTATTGATATTGTTATCTCGCGGAATGTTAAACATGGAAAAGATATAAAATATCAGGTTTCAACAATTGTGCTTAACCTACTAAATACAGGCCACATATTAACATCAATTTTTGTTTTTCAGATCCGCTTAAATAATGGACAAGCAGAAGCAGGGTAGGTAATTTGCTCCCAGTGTTCACTTCTTGTTTATTATGTTAACTTTATAGTGGTTTCTGTTACAAACTTTTACTCAGTTTCTCATGTACAGGATTTGTTTTGTGTTGGTCATGCCACAGAATCCAGTGTCTAGTTCAGTGTTGTAATGATTAAGATACAAGTAAATGTATCCTCTACTACTACTAATAAGAAAAACTTTTTTTTTTTAATCTTACGATGCGGGTCCATAGGCTCTGAGATTTTCCTTCCCCTCCTCCGGTCCCCTCCCAATATGGATTCCTCCTGTATTATTATAATAGTTTAGCCTTTCAGCTACAGTCACAAGTCCATCATTCTGCTATTCAAGTGTGACCTGACATTGTAGGTATGGACAATGCTGAGAGTCTGGCAGTCTATTGACAAGATGTATTTAAAAGTTTCATTGGGAGTCCCTCTTCGATCTGGAAGTAGAGATGCACACGGCATTGGATCGTCACATCTGGATATGGTCTTATGACACAGTTCCTCTAGATGACTATATGCATGTTCACCTATATATCTATCTGTTTTATATTTTCAGTGAAGGTTGCCTTAGATCAGACAGAACATATGGTACTTGTCCTTTTGGGATTGGTTTATTTTGATGAGCAGAGTGGTCTCTAGTTTGGATCATTTGGCTGTAAATGGTAGAACTGCATTCTTTTCAGTGGCTGTGTAGTATTCCATAGACTAGATGTACCACGGTTTCTTTGTCCACTCCTGTTTCTGCAGGCACCTGAGTTGTTTTCATGCCTTTGCTATTGTTGACTGTGCTGCTGTAGGAATAGGAGCACAGTTTACTTTCCCTTTGCTGATTTAATTTCTTTTGGATATATTCCCAGGAGTGTGATAGCTGCATCGTGGCAGATCAATTTTCAGTTCTCTTAGAACTCTGCATACTGCCTTCCATTGTGGTTACTAACCTGCACTCCCACCAACAGTGAAGGAGGGTGCCTTTGTCCCCGCATCCACACGAGCAGGTGCTGTTAGTCGAGTTCTGAATGTAGGCCAATCTCCCTGGAATTAGGTGGAACCTCAGTGTGGTTTTCATTTGTATTTCCATGATAGCTAGGGAGCCCGAGTATTCTTCCTATGTCTATCGGCCATTTAAATTTGTCCTTTTGAAAAATATCTCTTTATTTCCTTCACTCTGTTCTTCGCCTTCTAAGGAAAGTTAGGAAGATTTTGTTGCCTTGGGGTGGATTTTGAATGATGTACTTTAGCCATAACTTTGTCTTTCCTCTGTGTATTTCATATACATAAAGATTATTCAACTTGTATTAATGAAAAGATAATGACTGTACTAATTATTGGGTGGTGTCGGTGGTGCCTATGAACCTGGCATCTCAGCAGTGTGGGCTGGGTGCTGCTCTGCTGCCCGGCTGCCTGCTCTGCTCCTGGGAGGCAGCTCCGGGACGTGAGTCAGCCGTACACGTGGAAGACCCAGATGGGGTTAGGTCCCTGGCTTCTGCTGGGTCCTGCTCTGGCTACCATAGCTATATGGGAAGGGCCCTTTCTCCCTCTGTCACTCTCTTTTCAAATAAGCAAATAAAACTTAAAAATGATATAAGCCTAAAATGTAAATTATAACATTCACTTAGTACCTTTTTTCTTTTCCAATCAAAAAGTTTGAAATAAGATGGGTATTTTTCAAGCCTGTAATGGAAGTCTTTACTATATGAAAAGTTTAAGGCTCTGGAGAGAGTAATATTTTGTATTGGCAAACACATTAAAAAAAAATCCGAATTCTGTTTTCCAGAAATGGTCTTTATTATCCTCTTTACCTTTGTTGAATTGTAAGGAAGAAAAATACATGCATGCACACACACACACACACACACACACACACATACGTAGTCAGGGTGTGTCATTAAAAATGTATATACATGAGATATGTATTACAGAAAACTGAAATTATCTTCAAGACAGTGGGATAGCCTGGCAATTTTTGGTTGACTTTAACAATAATATCTTGCTTGCGTTATCTACTTATCTTTATTACATGGTAACAAGGGAAACATTAACCCACGCCACCTGTTGTGTCAGAAATTCCGTTCACAAGGTCGTACTTCCTTTGCAAGGAGCAAGATTGTGGCTGTAAGAAAATCTTATACAACATTTTGGAGAGATACACAGACTCTCCTGGCAGCAGGCACTGAATAAATGTGTCAGCAAATTTCAGACTGTAGTCCTAGGTCAGTATTTTAAGCAGTCTAATATTAATTTAAACCTCTCTTGGCAGGGATATCACTGGGTGTCAGCTTATGTCCACCACATGTTCAAGCTTTATTCCATTCACACTGCAACCAGCCATCAGATCGCTCTCTCTCACCTGCTTATTTAACTTAGTTAATTGAGTTAATTTAACACAATTTAATTCATTTTAAGTTAAGTCAGCCTGAGTTTAAATGGATTTAATTTAGGTGATTTAGATGAGTAATCTCTGGTTATTTTTAGTCCTGGTGGAATTGGTCTGTGGTGTTACACTGCAGCATTGCTTAACTCACTTCCGTTTACATCGATACAAACTGTGTCTGAAATTTCTGATATCAGATAGTTTTCAATGCAAATTTTTTTTTAAGATTTAAAAGATTTTTTTATTGATCTAAAAGGCAGAGTGAGGACAGAAGGGAGTGAAAGAAAGAGAAAGAGATATCTTTTATCCGTGGGCTTACAACCCAGATGCGCCCAGCAGCCACAGCTGGTCCAGGCTAAAGGTGGACGGGTGGGACGCTCCCAGGTCTCCTGTCCTCACCTGCTCCCTTCACAGCTGCACTAGCGGGAGGCTGGGTTGGAACCGTGGAGTAGGCAAGACTCGAAGCCAGCATTGACTGATTGATGTATTAGGAAGCGAGTATATATGAACACTTATTTCTTGGAAATGTCATGTTATGGTTCGTTCTCGGTGCAACTCTAGAGTAAGCGTAACGTTATGCAAATACTAAGATAGGCACATTCTTTTAAAGACTTAAATAATTCAATTCTTATGCTGATAGTTTTAGATACCTTTCTAATTGCCCTTAATTCCACCCTTACCATCCCATATACAACTAGTTTCCTTTTTTTTGCTTCATTCATAATTTGTGTGTGGTTTTCAAACTCTCTTTCTACTAATTTAGCAAAATCAAAACATGAAACCAAACATGCATCAAGCGTATTTCACATGAAGAACTTCAGTATCGGTCACTGGTCTCACTCTTACCTAGAATTTTATTGGAATTGAAGCAGAAGTCTATTGCAAATTAGTTCTTGTACCTGAAATAGCCTGTATTAAATGCAGAATTCACTTCACCTTTTTCAACAGGCATAAATAAGATCACATAGATAAGAATGATCTAGGACAATCATTTCCCATTTTAATGTATTTTATTAAAGCACATGTGTATTTACTCCACTTTACCTTGCATACAGGCAGGTCAATCTCCTTAGCTAGGAACCGTTTTGCCAGCTGAGTCTCCCCCTCAGTGGCCACCCACAGCAGGCCAAGCTAAATGAATTGATCAATCATAGTAACCATTTACTGATGGTCCCATGCATAAGGGACAGAATTAGAATGGGTGTCTGCATTTTAGCAATTTCTTTTCCTAAATTCACATTAATGAAATATTGGCAGAATAGCTGCTTTTGAGTTTTTAAAAACCATTTGTGTGTTTTTCAAGCACAGAAAGCTATAAGCAGGAGCTAAGGCCGTAAGTCATGTGTTTATATGTAGCAAATGAACTACAAGGCTGTGTGTGAGCTAACCCCACTGCACAAATATTTAAGGCCAAGATTTTACTGATTTTCCCTGTTCTGAAAATTGCTATTGTGTAGTCATTTTGAGATTTATTCATCAATATTTCATCTTTCCTCTCCCCTCCCCTCCCCTCCCCTCCCCTCTCCTCCCCTCCCCTTTTCTCTCCTCCAATACTTTTTTAACAGAGTGGTTGCTTATTTGTTTATTTGAAATGTTTAGTGACATAGAGTGAAGGAAAGCCATAGAGGAGAAAACTCTTGGAAACTGGGATGATCCTAAAAGAATCTATAACTCCATTTTTCTGAGTACTCACAAATGATTTTCCTTGTTTCTGTTTCAGGACATTCTAACTACGCAGGACCCCAGGCTGGCTACCCAGGGCCCCATGGGGGCTACCCAGCACCCCAGGCTGGTTACCCAGGGCCCCATGCGGGCTACCCAGGGCCCCATGGGGGCTACCCAGGGCCCCAAGCTGGATATCCAGGCCCACAGACCGGATTTCCAGGGCCCCAGGCTGGCTACCCAGGCCCACCAGCCGGCTACTCAGTTGCTGACCCAGCCAACTTTCCTGTCCAAAATCAACCAGGACACGCCCAGCCTGGTGGACCTGCAGCGGGTCCGTGGATGCCAGCTCCACCAGTTCCACTCAACTGCCCACCTGGATTGGAGTATTTGACTCAGGTAATGGCAAATACATAAAATAATCGTAAAGCAGACTATGGTTCCAGTTTGCTCAACCAGATTAGCAAATTAATAATTAACTGTAGGTGAAATAGCAAGATATTTTTGCTAATAGTGAATTCTTCTAATTCAGTTTCAGGTTTTAAAATAAAAATGTCTCAGAAATGAGTATTCTGTGGTTTTGAGTACCATCTATAACCATTGACAATAGCTAATACGTATTAAACCTGATTTTCCAGTCTTTTTCCATTATTTCTTTTTTTAAAGTTTTATTTTTATCTGGGAGACATTTACAGAGAGAGGAGGAGGAGAGACAGAAAAAGAGAGATCCTCCGTCCGCTGGTTCACTCCCAAACGCCCCCAACAGCTGGTGCTAAGCTGATCCAAAGCCAAAAGCCCAGGGCTGTTTCTGGGTCAGCCGCATGGGCACAAGCACAGACGTGGGCCGTCTTCATCTGCTTTCCCAGGCCATTACTAGGGAGCTGAATCAGAACCGGGACTGGAACCAGTGCCCAGTGGCAACCTGGCCCTGCAGGCAGAGGATTAGCCTGTTAAGCTACTCCAACAGCCCAATTTTTTTAGTGTTTGTCATAAAAAAATACATATAGTAATTCATGTCAGAAGAGAGGGCTGGAACCGAGAGAAGTTATCTAAGGATTGGAAACCTAAGGAATCGGGCCCTTCATTATTATTACAACTTTAATTTGGGTAATATAGACTTCTTGGGATCTGGGGCTGTGCATCTAGGTTACAGTTGAGTGTGAGTTAGTTTCAGCAATATGAGGTACAGTATTTTTTTGGCGCAAGAAGTCAGGCAGACACAAAAGCCATGTGTGGTTTGTTGTGCCCGGCCTGGATGCCGATGTTTGAATGAGATCCAGTCAGCTTTGGGGAAACCAGTGAACATGTGCAGAAAATGTTCTCTAACAGAAAAAATTATCAGTGTTTCTTGAGTCACTTCTAGAAGAAACGTCATTTCCTAATGTTGAAAAGACCGCGTATGTAAGCCACTGCCATTTGACATGAGTTTTCCCTGGTTTGCAGTGAAAACTCAGTTAATAGTTCAGCAATTAAACCATTGCCTTTAGTTTTACATGGATGGTGATAGACACTATTAAGTATTGGTAAAATTAGTTATCATAGCTAATTGATTACATACATTCATATAAAGACATGGATTACATTTTGCTTGATTTAATGATCATTTTAATATTAACTTACAGCTTAATTTTCCTTTTCCTGTAATAGATTGACCAACTACTGGTTCATCAAAGAGTCGAACTACTGGAAGGTATGTATTTATTGTATTAATTATGTTTACATGGATAAAAGAGATTTACTCAGATAAATGCAAAGTAACCAACATAAATATTTAAGTATGACCCATGTGAGATGTTTAAATCAAGTGATTGCAAAAAAAAAAAAAATCCCCTTTTACAATAATTAAATTATGAACACTTACAGCAATTCAGGAACTTAGGAGTGTCAGTTATAAATTATTTGGCCATCTTTCTTTCTTTTCTTTTTTTTTTTAAGATTTGTTTATTTTTATTACAAAGTCAGATATACAGAGAGGAGAGACAGAGAGGAAGATCTTCCATCCGATGATTCACTCCCCAAGTGAGCGCAACGGCCGATGTTGTGCCGATCTGAAGCCAGGATCCAGAAACTTCTTCTGGGTCTCCCACAGGGGTGCAGGGTCCCAAAGCTTTGGGCCGTCCTTTGCTGCTTTCCCAGGGACTCTAGCCGCTAGGCCACGCTGCAGGGCCCTCTGGCCATCTTTCTTACAATACAAATATTAACTTACAAGGAATGCAATTAAAACCTTTCTTCGCTTCCGTCTGTGCCGATCCCTTAGCCCGACCTTTGCCACTTCACCTGTTTTTTTTTTTTCCTAAATTGTGATCAACTGAGAACGGGTCAGAGCCAAATGCCAAAGCTTTGCTACGTTAGTACATTTCCAACGCAAGTGGTCTGTTTCAGTTTGGATAGGGATGTTTTGGAAAATTCTTGCTCATGCCCACAGTTTCTCCTGGGAACGCAGGTGAGCTCTGTCTAACCCTTGTGCCTTGGGTTGGAGATGGTCAGCTCGGATGCAGACGTGTCGCAGTTAGAAGATGCCATCCAACAAACCTGGCATTTCGGTTCCCCAAAGCAGCACATCTGTTCCTGCTCGGTGGGTTTGATGCCACCCAGCAGGATGCCAGGACCCCAGATTGCAGGAATAATTGAGTGTGCCAGTGAAGGCTTCAGGACAACTGTCCGGGAATGAGACTGTGAAAGAAGTGACTTGAGGCTACCTCTGCCGATTTGTGGAACATGTCTGCGAAATCCATCTTCACCTGTTTGCAAAAATATTTTCTTTTGATAGAAATCAAAGCGAAATTACCTGAGCACAGTCATAGTTAATATTAAATCATGCAAGTGGCATTTCTTATATATAAATTATTTAATAATATATTACATATAATATATTACATTATATATATTATATAAGACCGAATATCACTGAGACATTCGTAGATTATTTAAATTTGTTTAGTATTTTTCTAAACTAGGTTTTGTCCAGAAAAGAACTCCTTGTTACTTAGTCACTTGGATTCTGACTTTTTAAAACATGTTATCTTTGCCCCAGTGCAATAGCGTAGTGGTTGTAGTCCTCGCCTTGCATGTGCCGGGATCCCATATGGTCACTGGTTCTAATCCCGGCGGCCCTGCTTCCCATCCAGTTCCCTGCTTGTGGGCTGGGAAAGCAGTGGAGGATGGCCCAAGGCCTTGGGACCCTGCACCAGCATGGGAGACCTGGAAGAGACTCCTGGCTCCTGGCTTCGGATTGGCTCAGCTCCAGCCATTGCGGCCGCTTCGGGGAGTGAAGCATTGGACAGATCTTCCTCTCTTCTCTCTTCCTCTCTGTATATCTGACTTTGTTATAAAAATAAATAAATCTTTAAAAAATATAAATAAAATACATTATCTTATGCTTACTGAGGTTATGAACGCCAAACATCATGTAACACACCATTTTTTTCGATTTATAGAATTTTTAAGTCGTTACAAAATGTCTTAATTATGAAAATAGTGCAAGTTCAGAATTTATTACTTTTTAAATTCTGTGGTTGTTTTAAAACGAGACGTCTTTCATTTCCTTGCTTGCTTTTTTCTTCAGACTAAAAATTCCGCTTATTTTTTCATGTCATAAAGACGGTGAAGAAAGAAAATCTAGGTTCTTTTAACATTTGAGCATTTAACAAATACTGTCCGGATTCAAACTTAATAGATCAAAGAGACAAACAGAATTCTTCCGCTTTGTTTGATGTCTTGTTTTAACTTGTAGAAGAAAACTTCAGAATTATGTAACCCGTGTCGCTTAATAAATACATAAGCCGCAGTCCCTTTTTGAAATTTTAATTCTTATTTTGGAGTTTGAATTTTATGATACAATTCCGAAGAGTCTGGGATCTGCCCTCTGCTCCCCTCCCCCTGCAATTCTCACCCCAACTGCCCTTTTCGAGTAATCAACTGAATAATAAATGACCTCTCAGAAGTTGTGGCAGATGTTGAAATAAAGGGTCGGTTGTGCAAATGTGAGTCCTACCAGAAGCACTCTGAAAAAACACGTGAAAGGCATCCTGTCTGACCAAGTTTCTGCCATTTCACCGTGGCAAGTCTCCTTGCGTAGTTGCTCGTTCCGGTGATGGGCGTTCCGGAGCGCTGTGGGACATGGGGCCTTTGATCCTTCCTGGCCTGCGATGGTGGCCAGGGGCATTTATGCCTGTCGACACAGGAAGCCTTTTATATGATGCGAGGTGGAGGACACCGTGTAGCGTCCGTGTTTTCCCCAGGTACAGATTAACCGTGGACGGTGCGCAGTTGTCTCAGGAGGTCCCTGGTCTAGATGCAGCCCTGGTGGCCAAGCCCCTCTGCCCCTGGCCCAGCACACCTGTCCCGCTTCTGATCAGCTGCTGCTGCACTGAAACGGAGTGTCTGAGGCTCGGTGTGACGTTCTAACTTTGCATTCCTGTACTGTGCCTTTGACACCATGTGCGTTAGCAGTAAGCCAACTCAATGCCTTTGTTCCAACCGCACAACCGTTAGATAATAAAACATTAATTATGGCTTATAGAACATTATATGAAACCAACTGGTGCGCTGTAAGATTTCATAGCGCACAAGCGTAGCAGTCGTCTTTGATTATCCCTCCAAAATAAACGTCATTGAAGCAGAGCGATGGGTATCTGTCTACACACTCGGCAGCACTGTGTGCCCCCTGGTTACTGTGGCAGCTCTCCGCAGCCTCCCCTCCTGACAGGAGTCCTGCAATCCCGAAGACCCCACTGGTTTTTGTCTCCGGGTCTCCCACAAGGAATTGTAGCTTTCTGTGCTTCTGCGGCCTGCCCTCTTCCTTCCCCTTTTGTTGCAATCCAGGTCCTCACTCAGTATCTTTCTTGTGGCTCCTCCATTGTTTCCCCGGAGCATCATCTAACGCTGCTGTGGCTGGGAAGCATCATCCAACGCTGCTGTGGCTGGGGAGCATCATCCAACGCTGCTGTGGCTGTGCGTTGGGATGTCTTAGGGTAGATCCACACGCTCTGACGTATGAATGAGTGTGATGTCTTCTTTCGTCCTGAAGCTTTAATAGGTTTTGAAACTCAAAACAAATATGAAATTAGGAACAGCCTGGGACAGAGGGTGTTCGTGGCAGCGGAAGACACCGACTGCTGTACCCGGAATTGCTGTGGGCCCTCCAGACCTTTCACCTTGCGGATTGTTGATAATATGGGCCGAGAGGTGATGACCCTGGAGAGACCGCTGCGCTGCAGCAGCTGCTGCTTCCCGTGCTGCCTTCAGGAGGTCAGTGGACCCTTACCAGGGGGATGCGCAAAGCCGTCCTGTGCTCTTTGCCTTCCCAGTGAGCCTGACCTTGGCTACTTTTCATTTCTTCCTTGCCTTTGTAGATAGAAATCCAAGCTCCTCCTGGTGTCCCAATCGGTTATGTCACTCAGACGTGGCACCCCTGTCTGCCTAAGTTTAAAATTCAAAATGAGAAGAAGGAGGATGTGCTACACGTTTCCGGTCCATGCATTGTGTGTAGCTGCTGTGCAGATATTGATTTTGAGGTAAGCAATGTCACAATCTTGTCCAAATTTGCCTCTTTCGTGCCCGGCTATAGTTTTGAAGCATACACCTGCATGAAGGCAGTGAGTGCATTAACTTTATATGCAGGTATAAAATCTCAAGAGTAGGATAATGTATTCGTATACAAGTAAGACGATCAAAAGTATTAGGTCCCAGTATGTCACGCAGGAGATAATGCGTTCATACTTAACGGTGGTCAGATCAGTGGTTATTGCTTTGGTTTAAGGCAGTATCTGTTAATGATGCACAGAATGAAAAGAGGCAACGTTGCCTAGTCAAAGTGGAGATGTTCGGCCTAGGAACGGATCGGGTGGGATGTCCACATCTTATGTTGGCGTACTTAGATCTGGTTCGTCCCCGGTTGTACAAGCCTGCTGATTTCTTCAAGGCAAATGATGATGGTTCAAAAACCAGTATTGCTGTCCTCGTGAGGGTGGTTGAGAGGGAGATCCTGGCTTGTGGGCAGCCCAGCAGCCGTCTTCCTCATCACTGTCTGGTAAAACATGTGTGAAGTGAAGCAGCAGATGAGAGCACACAGCCATTCAGTCGTTCACTGTCTTCCCCCACAATGCATAAATACAGACAACTGGAGCAGGCCATTGCCTGGGAGCTGGGCAACACGCCACGAGCCGCACTGTAGCAATGAAGAGGCAGAGTATCTAAGCTTACGGACTTTGCGTGAGGATGTACGAAGATTATCCACTTTGTATTTATATAAATTTGTGAGATGACTATGTTTTTTGGATTATTTTTCAACAATTACTATTATTAACTCATAGATAGGGAAATTTAAACATATACATATATATATATACTTTTATTGGAAAAGCAGACTTACAGAGAGGAGACACAGAAAGATCTTCCATCCACTGGTTCACTTCCCAAATGGGCCAACGGCTGCAATGGCTGGAGTTGAGCCAAACCAAAGCCAGGAGCCTCCTCCAGGTCCCCAACACAGATGCAGGATCCCGAGGGTTTGGGTCGTCTTCTGCTGCTTTCACAGACCCTAAGCAGGGAGATGGATGGCAAGGGGAGCAGCCAGCACACAAACCAGTGTCCGTGTGGGATACTGCAGTTTACAGGATGGAGGATTAGCCAGTTGAACCATGGTGCAGTTCCAGAATTCATAAATTTAGCATAAATAGGGCCTGCCGGTGTGGCCTAGTGGCTAAAGTCCTCGCCCTGAATGCACTGAATCCCATATGGGCTCCTGTTCTAATCTCGCAGCTCCACTTTCCATCCAGCTCCCTGCTTGTGGCCTGGGAAAGCAGTCAAGGATGGCCCAAAGTTGAGTCCCTGTACCCATGTGGGAGAGGAAGCTACTAGTTCCTGGCTCCTGGCTTCGGATCGGCACTGCACCGGCCATTGCACTTACTTGGGGAGTGAACCATCGGACGGAAGATCTTTCTCCCTGTCTCTCCTCCTCTCTGTATCTCTGACTTTGTAATAAAAATAAATAGATCTTTTTTTTTTTTTAAAAAAAAGCATAACTATAGTACCACATTTCTATTTCCAAAGTTTGAAATTTCATTTTAGGATTTCTTGTTTTTAAAACAATTTTCACAGTACAGTATGAAATTATCTCGTTCTCATACCTTTTACTTGATTTTTTATCTTTTGATCTTTGCCGCTAAAAATTATGCATTTTTTGTACGACTTTGGGTAAAGTTTTGATTTCTTGCTATAAAAATCAGAAATATAAAATAGCAGATTTTTAAAAAAATCAGTATTGTGGATTGATGATGGTTAGTAAGATATCAAGTGCCCTTTTAATTTAAAAGATATTTCAAAATTTTAAAAATAAAATCTAAGAACTTGCATCACTGTGGTTCAAATGCTTAGATGGCGGCTTGTCCCCAGCCTCAGCTCCTCCTGATCCTGACATTTCCGTTCTGGGGTTGTGGTGGGAGGTTAATTGGATCACAGTTTTCTGACGCCTTATTCCTGAAAGCAAAAGGCAGCTTCAACCGCTTAAGTTTGTCTCAGGACAATCCTAACTACATTGATCAGAAATGCCCTATGCTGAGCGAAGCATCTACGAGCAGGAGAAATACTAGGCCTACCTAGTGGGAGCAGAAGTGAGATGAGCAGCGGCTGGTAATTCATGTCATCACGGCTTCATATTAGAAATCGGTTTCAGATTGAAGATCCCATCAACTTGGACCCATATAAAATGTCAGTTAGTCTCCCCACCGGCGCAAACCTGAGGCCAGGGCTTCAAAGGCTGCTGCTTGCAAACATGGTACCGTGTGCACCTGTGCCAACAGCACTCGGCTCCATCTCATCCACACAGCTCTTCGTGTAAAGAACCGGCTCAGTGTCAGCTGCTTTCAGCCTCCACCTGCTCCCCCCCTGGGGAGCTGGTGCGGTCTGACCTGACCCAAGTTTGTTCTGATGGCCCTGGATCGTCCTGAGGCAGACCTGTCAAAAACAAGAGTGAAAATTGCACTGTACTTTTGTTTGCAAAGCCCCAATGAACTTCTTTTACTGGGCATGCCCCCTAATTATCCATTCTTACCCAGACACTGACCTGGCCTAGCTCACATTGAGTTATTACTTTGCTTCACTCAAAACGGCCAGTGTTCTTTGCTGGGCTCTGACGTTTAACATTTTGCCTCTCGGGTGAATGGGACTTCCTTTCGTCTTCATGAACTTTTTTTTTTTCTTTTAAAGAACAAATCACATGAGGGTTTTGTTTACTACCTTCATAGCCTCTAGAACTTTCATCAAAGAAATATTTTATATGTCTCTCCTTCCGTTACATTTCATTTTGACCTGTTGAAGAAATTGATTACCATAGATTTTAATGTATAATAAAGATATTAAATATTTCAGCTAAGCTACTTCGATGTAAGTAGCCAATTGGATAGTGCCAGTTTATTTTAAAATTTCTGTAGATACAAATTCCTATGATCTGTTCACAGGAGCATATGATGCATAATTTAAATTCAGTATTTATTTTATGTTGCAGCAATTTTAGAGTAGTATTGCTTTGTTGGATGTTTTATTTAGTGGAGGATGAAACTTTTGAGTACAGAGTAAATTGAAAGTATTTCATCACAAAAATGAAAAGAAAAATGAGGGAAAAGAAGATGGTGAAAGATGAGAAAACAAATGGGAAATGTCACTGTGTCCTTAACACTGTATATATGAAAACTCTAAAATCTGTTCCTTTTTTCAGGGAAATCAACAAATGTAAAACCTTAAGAGAGTATAGAAAATATTACAAAGTATAATATAATCTACATATATACAATAATATATAAATATAATATACAGGTTTCATGTAACTTTTCCAGAATATTTTCAGACTTTTTTTTTTCACTGTAGATCAAATCTCTGGATGAGCAAAGTGTGGTTGGCAAGATTTCCAAGCAGTGGACTGGGCTTTTGAAAGAGGTCTTTACAGATGCTGATAACTTTGGGATCCAGTTCCCACTGGACCTGGATGTGAAAATGAAGGCTGTGATGCTCGGGGCTTGTTTTCTCATCGTAAGTCCATTGTTGCTGGCCTTGGCTATGCCTAGAGTCTTCCTGAAGTGAGTCAGTAGCGTGCACATTTTTGAAGTGATAATCTTGCACGTGTAGATTTCAGATAAAGTTCCTATCATCTCTAGCTTGGAAATTTGGTGTGATCCTGACATTGGCTTCATGGTGAATAATTTTTCTTTGGATGAATTTATGTATTTTACTAGGGAAAAGAAGTTTGTATTGAGAAGTCATCCTTTTCTTGGAATTTTTAATTTTTAAAATTGTTGTGATTATAGGAATCGGTTGAATCTGGACTTCCCTGCAAAAGGCTCAATGAAACAAGGAGACCATAATTTATCTGTTATTGAATTAAATCATGATACATTATAAATTACAGTGAATGTGCATCCACACAGACCTCAAGACATAACAAGTTAGACATAACTTGAAAGTCAGAGTTACAGATTGAAAAAGAGACAGAGAGAGAAATCTTCCATCTCCTGGTTCACTCTCCATATGGCTGCCATGGCCAGAGCTGGGCCATTCTGAAGTTGGGAGCTAGAAGCTTCTTCCAGGTCTCGCGCAAGGGTGTAGGGGCCAAGGACTTGCTGCATCCCCTGCCTCTCTCCCAGGCCATTAGCAAATAGCTGGATAAAGTAGAACCACTGGGACTAGAACCAGCATCCACATGGGATGCTGACACCACAGGCAGAGGATCAATGTGCTACTCCATGGCACCAGCCTCTAGATTCAACTGTTAATTATAAAATAGACTTCGAAAATTGTTTTTCTGGGCTGTTCAAAACCATTGGCACAAGGCCACAACCTAGCAACAATTCAGAAGCTCAGAAGCAGAAGTTTGCATAGCCAGCATTAGAACAGACATTCAAATACAGGGTTTCAAGATTGTAAGTGACAGCTTAACCGACTTTGTCACAGCGTCAGCTTCAGTAATTATGATTTTGAAAATATCAGTACTAGAGAATACGTGTAAAATACATAGAGGAAAGATAAAATCACTGCAGTGTATTGCAACCGGCAATAAATGTTACATCATTTCTGTTGAGATAGTGGGAGCTAATAGATACGCGATATGGATCAGCTAAGACAGACAACAGTGACAGGACCAACCTTGAACTTGGCAACGGTGCCAGGTGGGGTGAGGCACTTGGAACGCCGAGAGCCTCTGGCCTGTTTATTGTTGTTGTCTGAGGGCAAGCTGACCTCAGTAACTTTGGCTTTGTCTGCTGAGCTGTTCTTGTTCTTAGAATGAACCCCCCTGCTGCTGTGCATGTAGCAAGATTGTTTTGTATATTCACTTTAACTAAAAAACTCTGCTTCTCCTTCCCCCGGCAATGCTATCCCGCGAGATCGTTGCCACCCTGCTGTGTCATAAATCCATTTTCCTTGCAAGGTTAAAGACTCTGAGCTCTGATTTACAACAGATATGAGAGAAATAAAAGCTATAGGATTTTATTGCAGTTCTTGGGGAATGAGTCTATTAGACATCGGGGTATCTGGCTGGGATCACGGAGGACGCTCTAGCTGAGAAATGAATACGGGCCGAAAGATACTAAGTATAACGCATTCCATCATGTTGATAGCCATGAATCCCTGAAGGAATCTAACATTATGCATGGAATTGCGGTCACTAGAGAAGTTATCTTGCTGGAGAGGAACTCCAACAATTGAGGAAGAAAGATTGAACGGGAAGATCTCAGAGAATGTAGAAGAGATGTTTTGAGAAATTAGCAGGGATTGCATTCATTTGGGTAACACTCAATGGATATAATTACAGAATATCATTGCTGTTGCGATGGACAGCCGGGGTAGAACCGCAGCTGTGGCTTTTCCCAGAAGCGACCTTCTGCAGTTAGCTGTCCCAGAACGTGTAACAAACAGACGACTCGTAGCATCAGATTGGTTGACATTTCCCTGTCTGAGGACTGATTTATACTTTGTCTGAAAACTCACTTCTGTATGTTTGTTTTTCTCTAGGACTTCATGTTTTTTGAAAAAACTGGAGAAGCACAGCAAAGGGGGGGAGTCTGGTAATGGATGCCTGGAAGGCGGCCTGGGGAACCAGGACATCTGCGTCTTGCTTTGGGAGACAGAACCAGAGTTCAGCTTTTCTGCGTCTGATCACTGTGAACTGAGCTGTGATGCTTGTCATTCCGATGATGTGGTTTTCACTTTTCAAATCATAGCGTTTATTTCAAATGATAAGGTATATTTACTGTATATCTGACTTCTATTTTTATATATTTTAGCATATTCACTGTGAACTTATGAGAAAGGACATGGGCAATTTTTGCATTTAGAAATGAAAAGCAGATTTAAACTATGGAATATGGTTAATTTTCCAGTTTTATAATAAATTGTGTATAGCTTTGTTTATGAGATTGTAACAGACTTACGAATTACTCCATGAAGTATAGTTTTAGCCTGTTTCATCTCATAGCTAACATTATTTTGCAAATAGCATGCATTCAAAAAATTTAAAAATAGGTTTCTGTTCAGATAATATTATTTAATATCCATATTACTAAGGAAATTAATTTTTTTATCTTTAGGATATAGCCTCCTATAAGTAGATCTATTCTATAAAAGTGTTTATGCACAGATTAAGGGAACAAAGAAACATAAGATTCTTTAAAAAAAAAGTTGAAGATTTATGCACTCTAAAATAGAGCATTTTTTGATTTCTAAAGTATTGACAGAAAAAATATTTACTTTCTGTGCTCTGCTATTCCCAAAACAATGTAATTGTAATACTGTTCAGTTATGAGTTAAATAGAATGTATTTCTTCATAAAATATGTTTCAAAAATAATCTAGCAGCTTATTTGTGGTAATAATCAAATATCTAAAATAAAAGTATATTGCTATCTTCAGTATTTCTCATTTTTTTTTAAAAAAACAAATGTGGCCAATCTGTGATGTATTTGGAACCCTCATTCAATTAAATGAGGAAACATTTGCTTTCCCTTCTTATTCAAATCTCTTTTAAAGGAGAAAAAGGGAAGATTTTATGGTACCTTGTGATAAAACTTGTACCTGTTGAAAACCAGAATTTCTATCCATCAGAAAGTTAAAGAAAAATGCTCTGATCTTTTGTAGTGAAGAGTGAATTGAGAGGGAAGACAAATGACTCACAATTTACTCACAGTTATGAAGTCAAAAAGTGTGTTTAGGAAATAAGGTCGGGGTGAGACTCCCTTTGCTTTGGAATTCCGTGGTAGGACCCAGCACGATAACATAGTGGTTAAGGTCCTCGTCTTGCACCCACCAGGATCCCATATGAGTACCAATTCTAATCCCGGTGGCCCTGCTTCCCATCCAGCTCCCTGCCTGTGGCCTGGGAAAGCAGTGGAGAACAGCCCCAAAGCCTTGGGACCCTGCACCTGTGTGGGAGACCCGGAAGAGCTCCTGGCTCTTGGCTTAGGATTGGCTCAGCTCCAGCCGTTGTGGCCGCTTGGGGATTGAACCATCAGACGGAAGATCTTTTCTCTCTCTCGCCTCCTCTCTGTATATCTGCCTTTCCAATAAAAATAAATAAATCTTAAAAAAAAAAACTCCATGGTAGCCTGTCATCTCACCGTGAGTGCTCATGACAACAGACCTCCACCAATCACAGTCGCTTCTGGTGGTAAATGATGTCAGTATTGTTCTAGAAGACTAAGTACAGCAAAAGCAAGTATAGGTGACCTCCCAGCACCTAAATAACCAATCAGATGCCAGATTGCAATGATAAACTCTAACCACAGTACTCTTCCTTGGTCTTACATGGGGGGTAGACATCATGGCAAATGAAGACCAAGTGTCACATTAGCAGCAGCTGTCCAGTTAGAGAAGGGCTGGGCTTTCCAGATGCAAGGTGCTCCACCAGCGTAGATGAGGCTGGAAGAGCTGCTAATCTTCCTAACAATTATATTCTACTTTTGTTTTGCCCTCTTCCCCCATGTGTCTCTTGCTCTCTTTCCCATCCTCCTAGCTCCCCTCCTTCCTCTATTTAAGACTCAGGATTTCTGCTTAAGCAAAGTAAAGTTATAATTCATCTATGTAGTTCCTTTGCTCCTGTAGCTATAAACGATGTTAGCAAGAACTTGGGTATTGTCAGCAGAACACCTGAAGTTAAAATGCTAGGCAGATAACTTCTCACGGATAGTTACAGAGAGAGGTAGCATCACCTAGGGTGAAACAGCAATTTCTTATGAAAAAACGTAAGAAATTCCAACAGAAGTCTCAACAAAATGGGAGGTAATATTGCTTGTTTGTTTCTGCTGAGCTGTTCACAGAGTAAACGGAAGGTCAGTAGTGACCTTGAGAAAAGGCGAGGAGGTAGGGGAAAAGAAAGTGTGACCCCTGGGGGTGGTCAGTGCGGAAGGATGTGGGGTGTAGACAGAGAAGGCCAAAAGCTCCAGCGTCTGTCCTTTACAATTCTGGGAGTAGGCTGATGGCGGCGGGTAAGTGAGAATGGAGACGCAGTTGGACGATAGGAACAAGCACCAACCCTAGGAGGCTAAACGATCAGGGGCTGTTTGCTTTGTTAGCCTCATGGCCTCAAAGCAGGAACAGCCATGGGAGAGAGAGTAGAGCTCTACATGCAGGAGAGGGGTGTGCAGCGTGGTCCAGGTGCCGCCGAAAGCCAAGGAAACATTTGGTCTGGTCCTGACAAAGCATCCACGGGTTAATTTAAGCCTTGATTCCTGGCGTCCCCTGAACCTCTTCCTTGAAAATATTTGGTACCCAAGAACTTGTGTCCACTGGACAAATATCCAGAATATCTTAGTGTTTTGAGCAACAGCATCAGGCTCCTTAATATTTTAAATATTGCATCTCTTGAGATTATAAATTAATCCACAGGGAGCAGGGGTTCAGGCAGTGCTTAAGATGCCCACTTTCCATATCCAAGTCAGTGAGTTGATTTCCCAGCTTTGGATCCAACTCCCGACTCCTGTTTTCTATGGCTGCAAGCCCAGGAAGGGAGAAGTGATGGCCAAGCAATGGGGTTTCCTGTCTCCTGCATTATGTTCCCTGCCCAACCACAGCCACCTGCGTGTTTGGAGAATGAACCAAAGGATGGCGGCTCTCCCTCTTCATCTCTCTCCAATTAATTTTTAAAAAGCCCAACCTCAGTTTGTTTTGCTCTCCTTACATAGCAGTTAAGAGAAGTCAGCCACACCTACAACATTTTTACTTCCTTTTTTTTTTTAAGATTTATTTGTTTTTTTTTTAAAGTCATACATACAGCGAGGATGAGAGACAGAGAGGAAGATCTTCTATCTATTGATTCACTCTCCAAGTGATCACAATGGTCAGAGCTGAGCCAATCCAAGACCAGGAACCAGGAGCTTCTTCGGGGTCTCCCATACAGGTGCGGGGTCTCCCACACGGGTGCAGGGTCCCAAGTCCTTGGGCCGTCCTCGACTGCTTTGCCAGGCCACAAGCAGGGAGCTGGATGGGAAGCGGGGCTGCCAGGATTAGAACCGGTGCCCATATGGGATCCTGGTGGGTTCTAGAACCGGTGCCCATATGGGATCCTGGTGGGTTCAAGGTGAGGACTTTAGCCACTAGGCTACCACACCGGGCCCATACTTAGGCATTTTTAAGAGCCAGAGTGTTTTGCTCACAGTTACGAAGGCTAGAGCTGTAAGCTGAAGGGGACCCACGGGTGGAGATGGATGAGGACCGATCTCTGCTTCCAGACTGGTGATTCATACTGCATCTTTATGTAGCACAGCTGGAAGGGCAGTGGGACAGATGTGGGCTCCGCATGTAGCACAATCCACAGGAGATGGGGGAGATTGGTGCCACATCTTCCCACCCGTGCCCCTGAGCCTTTTTATAAGGGTACAAACTCCATTTTATGAATCCCATGGCATTAGTCCCATGTGAAAACAAACAAATAAACAAAACTTGAGCGATCAGGGCCAGCGCTGTGACTCATTAGAATAATCCTCCACCTGTTAGCACCGGCATCCCATATGGATGCTAGTTCATGTCCTGACCACTCCACTTAAAATCTAGCTCCCTGCTTATGGCCTGGGAATTAGCCTAAGCCCTTTAGTCCCTGCTCCCAGATGTGAGACCTGGAGCAAGCTCCTTGCTCACGGCCTAAGCCCTTGGGCCCCTGCACCCAAGTGGGAGACCCGGAGCAAGTTCCTGGCTTCAGCTCCTGCTGTTGTGACCACGTGGGGAGTGTTTCTCCTTCTCTCTGTAGATCTGCATTTCAAATAAAAATGTATAAATAATAATTAAAAGAGGACCGGAATGATCTTTAGTAACATCATCTTGAATTTTTAGTTTCAGCGTATGAATTTGGGAAAGCACGTACATTCAGACCACAACACTGATAAACACAGTTCTGCTCAATCATACTGCCCGATTGCCTCTGTTATTGCTATTCACAAACTAAAGAAAGTTCAACTGTAAAACTTCTGCATTGTTATTATTTTTTTTAAATCCATATGTTATTTGTGAAGATGACGTTTAAAATCGGTCCTGTGGCATTGGAATTTAAGGCAGAATAGATGCCAGAGTTTAAAGTTGATTTAAGAGGCCAGCAACTGATCAGTATTGATTTAATTAGCATCAACAAAGTTACTACACTAGTCCAATAGAAAGACTAGGTACAATGTTTGCAATAGGCAATGAACGTCATTTCCCACAAGGGCTTGAAGCTAAGTACACATATTGAGGAGTTTCAGGATAGAGCTCATGGTAGCGTGCAAAGAAAGCAACATAGGCATTTAATTCAGTTTTAAAGAACAGGAAATGTTTATTTTTAATGTTATTATTATTTTTTAATTTCCAAGACATAGTTACAGAGAGATGCACAGAGAGAGACAGAGGTCTTCCATTTCCCTGATTTACTCCCCAGATGGCTAGAGTAGCCAGAGTTGGTTAGATCTGAAGCCAAGTGCCAGGAGCTTTTGGGGGTCTCCCACAGGGGTGAAGGAGCCGAACGACTTGAGCCGTCATATTTATCATCTCAGGCCGTAAGTCAGGAGGGGGATTGCAAGTGGCACAGTCAGGATAGAACAGGCAGCTAGATGCGTTGCTGGCACTACAGGCAGAGAATTAGTCCACTTCACCACGGCCGCAGGTCTAAGAGTCACATGGTATTTCTTAGAACATGTCACCTTTTATAGAATGTATTTACTTGAAAAGCAAGTGACAGAGATAGATGAAGATAGTGGAGAAAGAGAGAGGGAGATGAAATGCGGAGGAGGGAGAGATCTTCAGTCTACTAGTTCACTCCCCAAAGTCCCCACGAAGAGCCCAGAATTCAGAATTTCATCTGGCTCACCCACATGGTAGACACAGACCTTCAGCTGTCACCTGCGGCTTCCCATGATGAGCAGTGACAAGAAGGAAGCAAAACAGAGGTGGGATTCAACCCCAGACTTGGCAGTGGTCTGTTGTGCCACCATGCCTGCCTCAAGGTAAGTGATGTTTACATAGGAAATGCTGTCAGCAAAAGGAGAATAGGCAACACTGAAGCAGGGAACTAACAGGCAGGAGTCACATCAGAGATCCTTAATTTAGCTCAACTGTAATTGATGGAGCTGTTTGCATTGGAGGAGGAAGGCAAGGGGCTGGAGGAACAAGGCGCGAGAGCCCGTATCTGGCAGTGCCTTGTCAGCCAGTTAAGTTCAATGTGCATACTGAGGGCAATAGTAGAGGGATGTAAGAAGCGTAGTTAAAACTAGAAGTTTTAAGTAGGGGGATGGAATTCAGCCTGCTGGAGTGGCTAGATATCTCCTTAAAATAAAGATGTCCTTGCCCTCTGCACGTGAGAGCTCACTCCACGCCTCCTGTTACACTCTCATTCACAACATGGTTGATGTGCACTGACGATATCTTCTCCCCAAATTTAACTCTT